ACATTGGCTTGATTGGGTGAGAGATGGGAGAAGGGTGGGCTCGGTATGGTGGAGAGATGCTCGTGCCCTTAATATGGGGGACGGAATGAATGTCGGGTGGTTGTCGGAGGGATTTAGGATTAAGGTAAGAGAGGGGAAAAGGGTGAGTTTCTGGTGGGATGAGTGGTGTGAGGAAGGTTGCCTTGCTAATAAGTTTCCTAGATTGTATTTACGGTCAACAGGAAAAGAGAAGGAATGCTATCAAATGGGTAACACTCAAAGCGGCACATGGAAATGGAACCTATCATGGAGAAGAATCCTATTTCAATGGGAAGAAGAGGATGCAAAAGAACTTTACAAGATGAAAGAAGAGGTGAAGATATACCCAGGATGTCTAGATGAATGGGAATGGAGGCATAGTAAGGATGGCCTATACTCAACATCAATTGTGTACGAGATATTAATAAAAGAGGAAAGGGGATCCGGTTGAAACAAAATTCTTCAAGAGGGTATGGAACCCTATTCTCTCAAGTAACATTGCTGCGTTTAATTGGAAAGTAATGATGGATAGAATTCCAACCAAACTGAATTTGTTCAAGAGAGGAGTCATCAAGGACATGGGATATGGAAAGTGTACATTGTGTGAGGTTGAGAACGAGGATATTAATCAGTTGTTTTTGAATTGCAATGTAGCTAGGTGGTTATGGGTGGCTTGTGCTAAATGGTGGGCGATTACCATCAAGTTAGACAAGGATTGTAGGAAAACCTTTGAAAGGTTCGGGACATGGACCAAACATCCAAGCATCAAAGAAGGATGGGACAGCATCTGGAACACATTGGTTTGGTTCGTGTGGCTCGCACGAAATCAAAAGATTTTCCAAGATTCGGAGGCGAATAGGGGTAAGATATTTGAACTTATTCAATTGAGATCTTTTGTATGAATTAAGGCAAAGAAAGCTAGGTGTTACTTCAATCTTTCAGACTGGTTGCAGGATCCAATTTCATGCCTTACTATTAACTGTGGGGGGAATAAGTAAATTAGAGAATGATAGGTTTGAAAGATGGGGGTAACTTGAATTGGCTTGTATTTTTGTAACTTTGTAAATGGGTTTGAGTACCCCTTGTACTCAGTTTATTATTAAAAATAGTATTTGGCTTTTCAAAAAAAAAAACTACTTTTATATATTATTTTAAAAAATATATGTTTTATGGAATTTTTTTAATTATAATCACAAAAGAAAAAGAAAAAGCATTTCTTAAGTTTATTTTCTTTTATTTCAAATAAATCTTTAGATTACATTTAAACTCTTGAACTATGTATTAAAATTTTCAAGCTAAATATTTACTTATATACTAAATTTATTTGAGTCTATTAATTTTTTATTAAAATACTTAAAAAATTTTAATTTAAGTTAAGATTAAAGTTTTAAACTTCTATACTATCAAATAATTAATTTTCTAATATATCAAAAAAACGTTATTTTAGTGCTTTACAATGAAATTTAATAAAATGATCTAGTTTTAAGACACTTTTTCTCTTAATTTTTTAGATGTTCAATTTATAAATACTTTTCTCTATTTTTCTTAATTTTAATTGATATTTTATAGTTTTTAAGTTTTCTTTTAAAAAAAAAATAAAATTATAGTCACAATCTACTATAGTACACCCTCCCAAATAATGCCTAACCACATTAGGAATTGAAAAAAAAAAAAATGGAGGATAGAAATTAATTCTTTGGTAGGTAAAACGAGTATACCCAGCACCAATGCATTGCCTTTGAAGGTTTAATATTTTCTATAATAAATCAACAAAAAGGAAAAAAACAAACCCAAACAAAATAACTTTAGCCTTTGATAAAGAAAAGAAAGAGGATGACTAAACAAAATTATTGAGAATTACAGTAATAGTATATTTATAATGCTACATAAAAATATAAACTTATAATTGTATGTGATATTAATTAAATATAACGTAGTATTAAATAAATAAATACATACAATATTATAGTGAATCCTTAAATAAAAAAATAATAATTATATAATGATACATTATATTATAAATTTATAATGCCATGTAATATTATAATTATAACATTTTTGTTAAAAATTTTTGGATTAAGAAGACAACACATTGCAAAAACTAACCATAAATTTAGAATTTCTATCAATTAGGGTTCAATTTTATCAAACAAGTACCCAGCACCAATGCACCGTTTTTGAAGGTTTAATATATTTTTTTTATAGTAAATCAACAAAAAGGAAAAGACAAACTCAAACAAAGTGACTTTAACCTTTTCTATCAATTAGGCTTCAATTTTGTCAAACAAGTACCCAGCACCAATGCACCGTCTTTGAAGGTTTAATATTTTTTATAGTAAATCAACAAAAAGGAAAAGACAAATGCAAACAAAGTAACTTTAGCCTTTAACAAAGAAAGGAAAGAGGATGACTAACCAAAATTATTGAGAATTACAGTAATATTATATTTATAATGTTACATAAAATTCTAAACTTATAATTGCATGTGGTATTAATTAAATATAACGTAGTATTAAATAAATAGATACATATACAATATTATAGTGAATCCTTAAATAGAAAAAGTTAATTATATAGTGCCACATCATATTATAAGTTTATAATGCCACATGATATTATAATTATAACATTTTTGTTAAGAATTTTTGGATTGAGAAGACAGCTCCTTGCAAAGACTAACCATAAATTTAGGATTTCCATCAATTAGGGTTCAATTTTGTCAAACGAATACCTAGCACCAATGCACCGTCTTTGAAGGTTTAATATTTTTTATAGTAAATCAACAAAAAGGAAAAGACAAACCCAAACAAAGTAACTTTAGCCTTTGATAAAGAAGGGTAAGAGGATGACTAACCAAAATTATTGAGAATTACAATAATATTATATTTATAATGCTACGTAAAATTATAAACTTATAATTGTATGCGGTATTAATTAAATATAACGTAGTACTAAATAAATGGATATATATAATATCATAGTGAATCATTAAATAGAAAAAATTAATTATATAATGACACATCACATTATAAATTTATAAAGCTATGTGATATTATAATTATAACATTTTCATTAAGAATTTTTGGATTGAGGAGATAGCTCCTTGCAAAAACTAACCATAGATTTAAGGTTTTTGCCAATTAGGGTTCAATTTTATCAAATAATTAGGGTTTAAGTTCTTCTTCTTCTTTGAAATTTAAAACCATGGTTATGGGGTTTCGATTGCGAGGAAGGGGTTAAGCTTGGTCCTTGAGTTTGGCGAAGTTGAGTGGTGGAGAAGCTAGATAAAAAAAAAAAAAAAAAAAAGAGGGAGGGGGGGGAGGGATGAGAGAGAAATATAGACTTTGGAATAGAAAGAAATAGGAACGAGATAAAGGATAGACCGGTCAAAATAACTTGATTTAAATTTTTAAAAAAATTAAAATATTAATGGCCTACCTTGCCATGTCATTGGTCCCATGAATTTGTACCCTTTCTTCGTCCTCTATATCATTGCCATTCTTCTAATTTTAAAGATGAAGGTTAATAAACATTTTTTCTTGTTTTTTAAATTGTAATTGATATTTTTTATTTTTTTAAGTTAATAAAAAACCTAAAACCTTACAATTATGTAGTCATAGTATAGCACAATACAACACTCTTAAATAAAAATTAAGGAAATAATCTATACATCCTATAAAATTATGTATTATGTAATATATTAACAGTTTTTGTTATTTATGCTATTAAAACTGACAGTTTTCATTATTTATGTCATTAAAACTGACGGTTTTCGTCAGTGTATAATGGAATATGTAACTCTGTAAGGTGTATATATCATTGTCCACTAAATCTTAACTATGGTAGGTATTGAAAATTTAAATGTTAGAATGGAAATTAAGGTTTTGTTTTTTCTTTTTCTTTTTCGTTTTCGTTTTCTCTTAAAAGCAAAACTAATATATTAAAAATTATAAGAATAAGTACAAAAGTTACTCCAACTCTTACATCATGATTAAAATCTTTTATGTATCTTTTTTAACTCCCCATTACCAACTCTCCTATATATCTTAGAAACATTGCAAAAGTTTTACTATATTTTTTAATAATTTTCTTCAAAATATTAATTTAATTATTAAAAATAATTATTTATTAATAATTAAAAAAATTAATATTTATTAATTAACAAATTGAAATTAATCAACACATAGAAATATTCAAATACTTTAACTAACTATTTAAAGAAAAAAAATATATTTAAGTGACCCTAATATTTTCTTAGGTGGCAATAACCAAACCACTAAGAGGTTGTGGCGGTTGCAGACACCTCCATTAAAGAAATAAACTTTAGTCCCTCAAATTTTCTTCTACACCGAATGAATGATCTTACTTGTACCAAATCCAAAAGCTTTTCTTCATCAATTGCTTGGCTGTTGAAAATTACTTCATTCCTGCAAAACCAAATGATGGACCATGTAATTGCAAACCAAACAATCCACCAACAGATTTTGATAACTGTTGATCCCTTGTTATATTGAAATGTATCTTGACAAGAAAAATAGTTTATACATATTCAATTCAATATATTTTTTAATACTCGTCAGTTTAATCATAAAAAATATAATTTAAATACAATTAATGCAGTTAATTTTTATATCTTATGTATATAATTACATTTTTAAGTTTATTAACTTTTAATTTTATATTAAAAAAATAATTTTTTAATAAATTTATATATAATATATTAAAATAGAATATGTATCCATGAATGTCTATTTTAACAATTACCTATCTCAAATTAACAATACACCACCTTTAAAGGTTCAATAGTTTTCACGACAGATCAACAAATTAAAAAAACAAAAACAAATAAAAACAAAGTAGCTTTAGTCTTAGACAAAAACAAAAACAAAAAAAAAAAATGACGAACAGAAATTACTAGGAATGATTAGATTGGGAAAACTGTTTCAATAACTGCTTATTAAAATAACATATAATGGAAGACAGCTTTGATAGAGGCTATGCTTATGTTTCTTTCTTTTTCTTCTTTTTATTTTTTTTTTTAAGGAGGTGGAGTCTGTACCGAGGAATGAGGGGTTGAGGCGGGGTTACTGCTTTCCATTGTTTAAGTTATTAAAAGATTCATTGTGGAAGGTAGGGATGTTTTTTTCGTGATTTGGTTTACTTTTTAATTTTTTTATAGTTTGTTAATTTGTACTTTTGTATAATAATATAAATGTATTTTAGATTATAAATTTATATAAAAATATAAAAATTAATATTAATTTTAATATTAATATTATATAGATAAATTTAAAATATATATATATCAATCATAATTTTTAATTACTAAGAATGATTAGATTAGAAAACTGTTTCAATAATTGTTTATTAAAATAACATATAATGGGAGACAACTTTAATAAAGGTAATGCTTATGTTTTTTTCATTTTCTTCTTTTTAATTTTTTATAAGAAATGTTGAGTCTGTCCCGACGAATGAGGGATTGAGGCAAGGTTACTACTTTCCATTGTTTTTTTTTTTTTGAAAAGCACTACTTTCCATTGTTTAGGTTATTGAAAGATTCACAGTGGTGGGTAGGAATGTTTTTTTTTTTTTTTTTTTT